TAGAAGCATTGGATACGCTTTATATGGATTATAAACCTCCTTACCCGATCAATGTGATAATAACTCCAAGTTCACTAGAAAAGTATAATCGCCTATTTGTATTTCTTTTACGAATATTACGAATGGGTGTGGTAAGTCGTCATATATATCGGCTCTTACATGATCGGTACCTTATTGATGATAAAGATACTGTAGAAGACAAGAATCTGGCGCAAAAATTTCGATTTGAAGCACAACAATTTATTTCAGCACTTCAGGGGTATGCATTCGACGTAGCAGTATCATCTACTTGGTCACATTTTGAAAAATATTTGAAAAAAGTTAAAAAGGAATTAAAATTTCAATTAACGCGTGAACATTCATATGGTGCAAGCCCTTTAGACAGTCAATCGGATTCCTTTTCAACTGATTTCATGGATGATATTGAAGAAAACAATGATGTTGATACTAGTGAATGCGTTAGGGATCTTGCCTCATTGCGTGCCTATCACAATCACGTTCTAGATCGCATGCTTTTTCAATGTCTACTTTTAAAGGAGCAAGAGCCAATTACGGAAAATCTTGATAGAATTCAGATTCTAATACTCGAATTTGCAAAAGATTTGCAAATACGACGTTCTCGTACATTTGATGTACATATGCGATTCGAATATTGGAGAAAGATCAAAAATTTATATGCTCAATTTCGCTTACATGTAGGGACGGCGTTTACTAATTTCCCCCCCCCACGTTTCTATTGGCCAACGATAAATCGCAACGTGACTTTACAAACCAATCAAAAAATGATAATCTTTCGACTTTGATTTTTTTATTAATAAAAAAAAATCTCCGGCTTTTTTTAACAAAAAAAGTCTTCGGCTCTTTTTTTAATAACAAAAAAAAAAAATCTTCGGCTTTTTTTAATAATAATAATAATAATAATTAAAGATTTATAATGTAAAGATTTAAAGCAGAATTGATACGTAATCAATTTTTTTTTAAAGTATATATATATTTCGTATAATTTTTTTTATTTATTTAAAATTCTCTAAACTTGACAATAAAAAAAACTATACTCGACAAAGAAATCTCCACTAAATTTTACATAAAGAAAATCATTCAAACCCAAAGAAAAAAATATGCAAAAACTTGTCAAAATATAGTTAAAAAAGAACATTAAACCCCAATAAAAAAATTTGTTAAAAAAAATATATTAAAATCTAAATTGCCTGTTCATATTTGATAAAAGATGCTGTTAATTATTGTTGTGGCTAAAGCTAGAAATGGCTAGTTCTGGAAATTTTAAAAAAATTTTTAGGGCCTTTTGTTAGGGTTTAGAAGTAGTTTTAATAATAAAAAATTATAAGTGGATTTTGGTAGGTTTATATTTGTAAATCAAGGTTTCTAATTTCTAGTTTTAGCTATAACAATTATTATAACAAATAAAAAACAACAAAAGCCTATGAATAATGAAAGGAAGCTCTGTGAATTATTAAAAAAGCTATATAAAACAACAAAAGCTCCATAAAACTAAGAAAGAAAACATAAAAAAAAGCTCATTGAAACAGCAAAGAAAACTCTGTAAAACAATGAAAGAAAGCTTCACAAAACAATAAAAAAAAGCACTGTAAAATAACAAAAAAAAACTTTGTGTAATTATGAAAAACCCACTATAAAGCAACAAAAAAAACCTCTATAAGGTGACAAAAAGAAGCTCTATAAAACAAGAAAAAAAACTCTGTAAGACAATGATAAAGTAAATGAAAAAAAGCTTGTAAAATAATGAGAAAAAATACTCAATGAAACAATAAAGAAACTTTGTGAAATACTATAAAAAGATAAAAGAAAAAAGGTACTGTAAAATGTATCAAAATATATTATATCTAATTTACTAGTATCATATTACCAATCAGAAATGTGACTTAATAAAATACCTAGATATATAGCAATTATAACTAATATCTAAACTACTAATACTAATAACAAATAGAGGTGTGGTGACTTAGTGTAGTGGTCTAGTCATCACCCTCTTCAAGTGGCAGGTCTAAAGTTCAAATCCCACTGGTGACGATATTTGAAAAATAGGCTTGTGTTCGGTTGATGGCTAATGCATATCAGTTGGATCTAATCTGTAACTTTGGTCACACCATCTAGTAATGGGAGCAATGGCGCAATAAACCCGGGGAACCGGCATAACCGAAAACCCATTTGGAAAGTCCCGAGTTAGGAGTAACAATGATCTTTGATGGTATCACAAGAGGGCTAAATTTGAACTGGGGCCTGAGATCAGAGAACCGAACGACCAGGTCCTAATGGTGGAAGACACACCAACCGAATCGCTGGGTTCTGTCGCACCAGAGGAAAAGGACATATGCTTCGAAAGTATGTACCAAGGGGAGGGCATCCTTCAGGTACCTAAAGCCTGGGCAGACCAACCCTTCCGGGTTGCCGGCTAGAAATAAGGGACAGACCGATAAAGAATCTGGGTAAGAAGACAGTCCAATTGCGGGTATCAGGGTTGTTAGGAACCTAATAAGGGCGAAAGTAGATAATCACAGGGGTTCAATGGTTAGCCCTGACCCCAAGTATATGGGTAGAGCCATGGTGTAGGTTACTGAAGTCTAGATAAAGAACACATGTGTGGGACATGTGATATCTAGCAAAATGGAAATATCCTGCCATCTAATGATCCAGAGGCACCCGGAGTTGGGTAAGCAAACTTCACGGGATGTGAGGACCAATGGTGAGGTAAATGGGGTTAATATGACTATACTGGGCCGTAAGGTTTGGTACGTCTCACTCAAGGTGGTTATAGAAGTTCGGGAACTGAAACACCGCAGGGGGGGGGGACCTGGAACATCTGCGGTAAGGGATAACTAATTAGGAAGGTTGTGGCTTGAGATACAGACAGGTTTCGGCAGTACCTTAAAAGGTAGCTTGAGATACGAACTTGGTAATGACAGCATAACAGATACTAGTTAGGAATTTGTAACCAATGATGTACTAAAAATCTTGTAAAAATAATGTACTTTCGTGTACATTCCACTATAATGAGTAATAAAGAGGCAGCATCATTAAAAAAAAAAAAAAAATTATGCTTCATACTCACCCTTGTAATTTATTTGAACTACTATTAAATAATTATAGTTCCCTTGAAACACAATTGTTAAAGCGAATCAAATTAAATTTCATTCTAACCCTGGTAATTTATTTGAATGATTGATTAATCAATGTTTTGAAACATAATTATTAAAGTGAATCAATTAAACTTCATACTCACTCTTGTAATTTATTTGAATAATTGAATTATTACAGTTAATTAATGTTTTAAATACAATCATTAAAGTGAATCAAACTAAACTTCATTCTCACCCTGGTAATCTATTTGAATAATTGAATAATTGCAGTTAATTTATTTCTTGAAACACAATTATTAAAGCGATTCGAATTAAATTTTGTACTCACCCTGGTACTTTATTTAACAATTAAATGATCACAGTTAATTTTAATCAATATCTTAAAACACATTCATTAAAGTGAATAAACTTATACTCACCCTGGTAATTTATTTGAATGTTTGTATGATTACGGCTAATCAATGTCTTGAAACACAATCGTTTAAAGTAATCAAACTAAACTTTGTATTCACTTTGGTAATTTTTTGAATGATTGAATAATTACAGTTAATCAACTTGAAACATATTCTTCAAAGTGAATCAAATTAAGCTTATACTCATCCTGGTAATTTATTTAAATGATTAAACGATTATAGTTAACTTTAAAGTAATAAAAAAAACATATGGTAATATATAATACATTTCATAATGTTTAAGCACAAATATTCTTGTTTTTATTGCATTTAGCACATGCCCAATCAGATAGCGGACTTTCATTATTAAAAATGCCATATTTGCTTATTTGAACTCAAACTTGTTTGCAAACTTCAAACTGAACTCGAACCAAACTCATAATTTATTCGAGTTTGGTTCAAGTTTGGTAGTATAAGTTTGAGTTTGAGTCCGAGTTTGAATTTAGTAAAATTTAATGTTCGAGTCTGGTTTGAGTTTGAAGTTTGATCAAACCGGACCTAGAAACACTACTTAGCAGTAATATTTAGCAGGGATGGTTAATGACTTTAAATGACCCAAATGAGGGTCATTTATATTAGTTAATTGATTATCTAATACTTTTTAGCCAATTAAAATTGATTATTGTTCTAAATAAAACTAACTAGATATTACTCAATAAAAATTATTGCACCTGATAAATAATCCAAATGACTGATAACTCCAAATAAACGATCATTTTTCTAGCAGCTATTTCCTAATAAATAAAATTCTTACAAAATTGACCAGAACTAAACCTAATGCTGGCTAACTTGTCATTGTCAGGAAAGTGGAATGATAGGATCCATATCCAATCGGATCACAAGATTAAGTATAAATGATTTAATATGTATTGATATAGACAAAAGACAATATATTTTCTTTTTTAAAAAAAGTTCGTACCTAATTTTCAAATTTACAACTGAAATAAGTCAATTCGTGAATTGAGAGATATATATAAATATTATTTAAACATGCATTATGTGGATTTTTCTTAATTAGCTAGATGCCAACTCTATATGCATAATAACCTAATATTTGTATTATAATGGTTGAATTACATATCAGTCATACAATTTGTCACATCTAAAATTTTAATATATGATTTTTCATACATTACACAAATCGATGAATTACAGTTTTAAAATTTTTGCCTAAAACTTTGGTTGAAATACATATCGTTCTATATAACAAAATTATTCTTGAGGTTTTTACGAATCGTATAGTACACAGATCGTACAAAATAAACTGCTCCCTATAAAATGCTACACCCTTGAAGGCAGGTAATTATTTTATATACTTTTGACATATTCTTTCTGAGTTTGCAAATTTTTTACCTGTAAAGTGGTTCACTAGGTGCGCCATAAGGAGAGCTTTCAGCAAAATACATCTTTGAGAGGCGGGTATATTAAAAACATAACGCAAAAAATCAAGAAAACTATTTTATAGTAAGTAGATCACTTATTAATTCGTCGCAACTAATATATTTTAAGTTATTCAACTTTGTTAATTTCTAGTTAAGGTGTAAAAAATAATTTACTGACTTAAGCTTATAATATTTTCAATTTAGGAAGATTTTTCTTTTATTTATTCGTGTTAATTATGTAGGTCTGATACTAAGAAAATAGACGAATTTGATAAAAAAAAATTTACAAAAAATTGGGTTTTCGTGAACTATTAATTAGAGTTGCATGATTTTGGTACCATTCAGTTCATCTTATTGAGATGAATCGAATAGTATCAAAATCACATAATTCTGATTAATAGTTCAACCCAATTTTTTGTAAAAAATTTTTTTCATCAAATTCGTCTCTTTCTAGCAAAAAAATTGGGTTTTTTGTGAATTATTGATTAGAATTACATAATTTTGGTACCATTCAGTTTGTCTTATTGAGACTAATTGAATGGTATCAAAATTATACAATTCTGATTAATAGTTCACGAGAAACCCAATTTTTTGCAAAAAAACCTTTTTATCAAATTTGTCCCTTTCAGCAAAAAAATTGGGTTTCTCGTAAACTATTAATCAGAATTATATAATTTTGGTACCATTCAGTTCGTCTTATTGAGACAAATCGAATGGTACCAAAATCATATAATTCTGATTAATAGTTTACGAGAAACCCGATTTTTTGTAAAAAAAAAAAACATCAAATCAATCCCTTTTTCTAGCAAAAATACTTTATTTATTAATTAGTATATTTAATTAATTGAATCAA